GAACCTGGGACCCTTCAGTCCGCAGGCCGATGCTCTATCCACTGAGCCAAACCGGTCAGGGCTGAATGGTAGAATCTGAAGATGAGAAGAGTTTTAATGTTAAGGATCTGCTTATATTTGTTAAGCTGTCCCTTGGTGCTGGCTCATTGTTATGTCTGTCCCACCACCAGCTCTGCTCGTAGGCAGGCATTCCGGCCCTGTGAGCACCGGGAGGCCGCTCCGGAGCTCCCCTGCCCACACCCTGCATGTCCCACCCCCAGTTCCCTGGCCTTGGAAGCGTCCCCCACATCACTGGCCCTCTCCTCCTAGGCTGCTGACCACCCCATCTGACCCCCACCCCCTGGGTACCAGCCATGCCCCCTCACGTGCAGGCTCCCTCGGCCCTGCACCCATGAATGACAAGCCCTCCCCACTTGCTGCCATGGAACCTAACAGCACTCACTGTCTTGTGCCAAGGGGACCCTTTGAGGGCAGGATTCACCAAGTCTCTCAGCACAGAACTGGCCCCTCACAGCCCGTGTCTTGCTGCCATGGAACCTAACAGCACTCACTGTCTTGTACCAAGGGGACACTTTGAGGGCAAGTGTCTCTCAGCACAGAACTGGCCCATCACAGCCCGTGCAACTGTCCGCTGAACGAAGGAATGCCAGCATCCCAGTCCGAGTCGAGCTGGGACGCTGGGAAAGTCCTGTTGGGCCCAGTTTAGTTCCTGACAGATGACAGCACAGTGAGCTCAGCTCCTGTGGACAGAAAGGACCGCCTGGCGATGGGGAGAGGCTTGGAGGAAGCCGGGGTGAGTGTGGGCTGTGCTGGGGCCGGGCCCTGCCGGCCAGTTGGAAGCCAGTGAGTGGTCTGTGAGCCGATCTAGGTATTGCTCTCTGGGCTTCTGAAGGCTGTTGGCTGTGGGAATTGTACACCTTCAGACACCCGACATGGAGGACACAGCTGAGGGCACCCAACCTGTCTGTAAGGGGCTGGAGGGGGGGTGGGACCCTGACACAGGCCACGTGCTCTGCGGGAGCAGGGCTGGGAGTCAGGGGAGGAGGCCGTGGTGGTGAGACGGTCAGGGAGGGCTTCCTGTGGAGGAGGGCTGAGCTGCGCGGGGAGAAAGGCCCCATCCCGCACCGTGGCGGGAATGGCTGATGGCTGAGGGGTGAGAGCCAGCCTGCCCAGAGCTTCTGTGGCCTGGGTGCTGGGCTTAGTTCCTTGGCTCTTTCGGCCAATGTTGAGTGAGCATCCACCTGTCGAGGCCTGTCGGTGCTGGGGATACGACAGTGAGTAAACCCAACACCGCTCTGCCTTCGTGTAGCGCAAATAGTGACGTAGAAGGTATTGTGTGTGATGCATGTGTGTGTGCACATGCACGCTGCGTGTCTGCACAGGGCTGTTTGTCACAGGCTGGGGAGGGGTAGTGGGAGAGGGTGGGGAGAGATTTGAGTTTTAAGTGTTGGCATACGAGTGGCCTATTGAGACCTGGCCGGGTGGGCAGTGCTTCTCAGCACAGGAAACAGCAGAGGCCAAGGCCGGAGGCGACGGCACGTGTGGGAGCTGGGAGTGCGTGGGGGCTGGAGCAGGAACGAGCAGGAGCTGAGAAGGTAGAGCCGGAGGTGCTGACCCAGTCGCGGAGCTTCCTGTGGGCCATCCAGGGCCTTCCCATCTCCTGGACTCGGGAGCGGAAGGATGGCAGGACGGATGGCAGGACGGTCTGCGCAGCCAGGAGAGTGGCTCATGCCGAGGACGGAGGACCGGCGCCATCTCCTCCTGGGTAGCAGGGACACGCCACCTGCTGTGCGTAGAGACGTGGTGAGCAGCGGGAGGGAGGAGCGTGGTGGTGGCTGCAGGACGGTGGCCGAGTGAGGAGACGTCGAGCTCTGGCAGAGTTTAAAGGTGTTGCTGATGGCTGTTGGCACACCTGCAGGATGTGGGGTTAGGAGAGTTGGTTGCACTTTATGACAAATTCAAGAAGAACAAAAGCCCACACGTGAGTGCATCCTGCCGCAGGAGACGCGTGCCTCGCTGGTCTGTGGTGTTGGTAGCAGCTCAGCCCTCTGCTGCCTGCCGTGCACCATCACGCCGAGGGCTGCATCCAAGGCAGGAGTGGACCGGCAGGTTTAGTTCTGAATGGAAACGCCCGCGAGGGACAGTGACCGGCACAGCCGGCGCCTCCCCGGTCTGCCTGAGCGCCCGAGCGGAGCAGGCTGTGCTGGCTCCTCGGTGGAAGGAACGGTGTCTGTCTGGACTTGGTCATTGCAGTGGAGGGCTGGTCACTGGCCCCAAGCCTTTCGGCACAGGGTGACTGTTGACTTCAGTTCTGAGACACGTCGTGGGGGCTTCACATCCCAGCCGATATTCCAGTTCTTGACAGTGTGGGTGGATTTTGTGGGTGCCCCCCCCCCACGCACCTTCTCTTACTCCTTTCCTCCCCCCACCCCCCTTTTATGCAGATGAGGCTGGGAGAGGGGCTCTGAGTGAACTTCAGCTGCGCTTGCAGCTGTGTCTGGGTTTGGTCCTGGTGCAGAAAGGTGCTCTGTGCTGGGCTCCGCTTGGACCCCGTGGGGGAGGGAGGGGTTTGGGTGTGTTGTCGGATGTGCCTTGGAGCCAGCACAGGCAGCTGTGTGCAGCCAGGTCCGAGAGCCAGAGTGTAGCCGTGCACAGGTTTGGGGGAGCAATTCGCACTGTCCGTTCAGCTACTGGGACTTCAGCCTCCGCCCAAGAAGTGGGAAGGGAGCGAGGAGACTGAGATGTCTGGGGCATGTAACTTGGCAGCTGTCAGCGTATCGTTTTTTGGTACCAAAATAGTGTGTGTGCGAGAGATTTTCAAATAGGAAAGAAATGGATAAATCACGGTCTCTCCTGCCCTCATTCTGTTCCTGGGAATGTTCGCTCTGACTGGTGCCTCCAGAACACGTTCCGTGCGGCTAGAGCAGGATCAGACCTGGACACAAAGCTGGTGTTTTTTTTAATGTAATTGAGATTGTGTTCAAATGTTGTTGCAAGTTGTTTGGTTTGGTGGTTTTTCCCTGTGTATCTTAGAAATAACTGTCCTTCAAAAACAATACTTTAATGCCCGACTTTATGCACACATTATTTTTTAGGACAGATTTCAGATGTAGAATCACTAGGTTGTTGGTTAAGCGAATTTTAAACTTGCTCAGTGTCGGCCTGCAGACTGAAGGGTCCTGGGTTCCATCCTGGTCAAGGGCACAGGCCCGGGTTGTGGGCTTGATCCCCAGAAGGGGGCGTGCAGGAGGCAGCCCATCAGTGATTCTCTCATCATTGATGTTTCTCTCTCTCACTCTCCCTGTCCCTTCCTCTCTGAAATCAATAAAAACATATTAAAAATTTTTTTTAAATAAAACTTGCTCAGTACAGTAACTCTTCTAAAAAATTCCAGTTCACGTGCTCTCTGATGGCCACAGACGTGAGTGCAGGCTTCAGCTCATTCAGCAGGACGAGGTGTCCACGCCAGGGAGGTGTCCTTGGCTCTGCTGGTGCCCCAGGCAGAGCTGTGCCCCTGGGGGCTGCTCTCTGGGCGCCGCTCTCGGCTTCCGGGACCCCTTTGTCCCAGTGGAGTTTAAGCTTGAACTGGGTTCTCGTCCAGGGTGTGTGTGTTTAATCACTCATCCTTTTTAATTCTTCTAATTACTTTCTCTTAGTTACCTTCTCTGCTTTGAAATGACAAAAGAAACTCATGAGGAAATAGTATAATTAAGGTTAGTTCCTTTGTAGGCAAGGAATTGGGGCAATATTTCCCCCAGGTGAATATCTTGATATTAAGGTCAGCTCCCAAAGAAAGGCTGGTTCAGTTAAAAACAAACAAATTTTAAAAAGACAAACCGCTAAGAGAGGTGATGCAGAGGCTAGAATTCCCTTCAGAGACCCCGGCTCTCCCTCCGGTGCCTGCAGCATCGTCGTGCAGCTGGTCTCGCCCTGAGTTCCAGCTCTTACCTGACGCAGGGCCTGAGCCCAGCTGTGCAGACGAGGGGCTCGGCAGGAGCACAGGAAGGAGGGGCTTCCTGGCAGCCTCCACAAAGCGCCACGTTTCCTAGAAAGAACGGTTAGAAGAGAGCAGAGCCCAGGCCTGCGGTGCGAATCTTTAAATCCCGTTTTTATCCGTCTGCCTCTTACGGGCGCCATCTCACCGATGAGTCTTCCTGCTGGAGCTGGGCCTCCTCAGGATTCTGTGCTGTTCACAGCTTGCCACTCCCTCCTCCTCCTGCACACGGGAGCAGGTACGGGCGTGGGGGCGCCCTCCTCAGAAAAGGCGGAGTCGGCCCTCTCGGGGAGGACCATGAGCACCCCCCCCCTCCCTCCTGGGAACCTCACACTCAGGAAATGGTGTCTCAGAAGCTCTTCCCACTCCCTGAGCGCAGTTCACCAGCCCCCAGGACAGAAGCCGAGCGTCCTCCTCCTCCGCTGCCCACGGCCTGTCTTCCCGCCCCACCCACCCGTGCGCCTCCCTGGCCGCCACTCCGGTGCCCCGCCATGCTCCTCACTCAGTGTCACAGGCACTTCCTGCCAAAGACCAGACTCGTGGGCTGATGCTCATGCACCTTCCATCGCCTTCTGCCCGTGGTTAGAGCACGCGCTGTAGGCCCGGCTCTCGGCTACGGTGCTGTCTTCCTGTCAAAGCCGTGGGCTGATGCCGGCCAACGGGCACATAGTGGGAGCCATGGGATCAACCTGAAGAGTTAACTTCTTTGAACAGAGTCTTTAAAGTCCAGTGTGTACGCCGCACGCTAGCCCCTCTCACCCCCTGAGCCGCGCTCCAGGGGCTCAGGAGCGGCTGTCCTGGGCTGGACCGCGGAGCCGGAAAGGCCTCCCGGGACTCGGATTCGCTCCTAAAGGGTCAGTGGGACGTTATTGAAAGAAACAGGCCTGTTCACCCTCCTTATGCTCTTTATGCTCCTCAATCCCAGCAGTCGGGATTTTTACCTTCCTTTTTCAGTTGGTTTTCTTTTTCAGCCCTGAATTAAATTAATTTTGAGAGCATTCCATTCTCTGAACTGTCAGGCGTATGGCTTCTGAATTTCTTGGCACATATGATAACTTTTTTCTCTGCATCTTAATTTGGGTCTCAGGAAGATTATCTTGAATATTGAAATGCTTATGTTCTTCAAACCAAGATGCGTTCGCATTCTTACGCGGACTTCTAAAAAGCTCTGTGACTGAGTCACGGGTGCGCTTCGTCGGCGAGAGCTGAGCTTTGCAGTGGCGCTGCCGGCACCCCACCCGGAAAGTCTGCGGCTTTGCACCGGGGCCCTCCACACACTCGGAGGGGTTGCTCTGTGTCACCTTCTAAGTCAGGGACTCGAAGGGTCTCGTCCAGAAGAGAGCACCCGGGAGCGGGGGGGTTTGACGTTCCAGCATCGGGGGCCATGGGGAGGGCAGGAGGGGCTTTCCCTGCTGGGGAGACTGAGGCAGGTGTGGGGGTTTGTTACCACCTGAGGCCTATCGGGCAGGTGGCGCGTGTCCTGATCGGGCCCAGAGAGCGAGAGCCCCACTGGCGAAGGCTGAGGAAAGGCAGGCCTGTACCCAACTCGGAGAAGGCCTTGGACCCCGGGACCGGTGTCCGCAGGGAAACGTGCTCCTCGAGAAGCCCTGCTCTTCCTCTCTGGACGTTGTGGGGGGACGCGGGGGCCAGGGGGTGCCCTGTGTGTCACCATTCCCGAGACCCTCTTCTGATGTCATTTCTCTTCCCTTCCCTCCCGTCACAGTTAGAACAGCAGAGGCAGCAGCTGCTCACTGAACGCCAGAACTTCCACATGGAGCAGCTGAAATACGCGGAGTTGCGAGCCCGCCAGCAAATGGAGCAGCAGCACGGGCAGAACCCTGCACAGGGCCACCAGCACCCGGGGGGGCCGGGCCTGGCGCCGCTGGGAGCAGCAGGGCACCCCGCATGCTGCCTCACCAGCAGCCCCCGCCCTACCCTCTGATGCAGCACCAGATGCCGCCGCCCCACCCACCCCAGCCAGGTGAGAGGAGGCTCTGCCCACAGGAGATGGTCGCCCAGGAGATGGGGCGTGTTAGCCATGGTTCCTCAGGCCTGCCGTGTGCCCGAGTCTCTGGCATGATGCCTTTCTCCAGGCAGCTCGGCCTGGGTGGCCGGTGTGTCCCAGAGTGCCTTACATGCATCCTTGGATTGTCTACGCTTTTTTTTAAACTTAAAGACGTTTTCAAAACTAGACAAACACAAAGAATGGTACAGTGAACTCTGACCCAGCTCTCTCAGCCATCACCTTCTGCCATTTTTAACGTTTCGTCGGGAGCCGTTCAGCTGTAGACACAAGCAGAGCGGAGCGTGAGGACCCCCAGCACCTCTGGGCTGCCTCACAGTTACCGACGTTTTAGGGGTTCCTCCTCCCTTTGGGGTGAGAGACAGGCTTCAAACGTATCTCTAGCCACCAGAAACCTCATCTGTAACATAGCCCATCATCACACAGGAAAGGGGCTCAGGTTCCTACTGTCATTGCCGTCTGAACGCTTCCTGTTGGACTCGGTGTTCAGACAAGTCCAGGGTCCCATCTGCTGACAGTTCTCAGCTCTGTTGGCAGTTCCCCCTCCTTTTCTTCTTTCTTTTTGTGATGCCCTTCGCGCGTTTGCCTGGCTGTGCTGTCCTTCCCCCCGCGGACGGGCACTGGCACTGGCCGGTGATGTCGGTTGAGGCTGTTGGTGACAGTGAGATCGGACCTGGCGCTGATTGGGCTGCTGGGCTGAGCTGCCCCCGCGCTGGCCTCACGGAGCGCTTCCCGGGTCGTCGGTCGCAGCGTGGCCAGGTTTCTCGTGGTGGTTCCTTCTGCACTTACTTACTTGCACTTATTAGCGGCGATTCTTTTATTTAAAAAGCCACAAAACCTTTCTTTATCGTTCGTTATCCTGGAACTCGGTCCTTACAGGAAAGGCCGGGCAAACGCCTCATTCTCTCCCTTTGTCAGGTATTTGAAGGAAGAGCTACTACCCCCTCCCCCCATCTCCTAAGAGGACCCATAGGGGTTTTGCATTGTGCGTGTATGTTTTTAGTGTTGTGGGTTTTTGTGTGTTTTACGTGTTTCAGTCTGTTGTGGGCATTATTCTTTTTGATACTCAGATTGTCCACTTACGGGAGCCTTTTCGAGTTGGCAACTCTTCAATTTTAACCTTGAAAGTTGAACTCACAATTCTTTCAAACTTAACTACCAACATCATTAGAACTGAACTGTCCTTTTAATTCCAGCTTTTCCATCCCCCGCATTTCCCCTCGGAGAGCAGTGTGTCTGGCGTGTTCTGTGTGGCTCTGATAGCCGTCCTCCTGTAAGGTTTAAATGCCCGAGGACTGCTTCCTGGGTGGATGCAGACTCTTCGGCCACGGCCTGGAAAGGGGAGCGAAGGGGAACAGACCCTGGGAACCCTCATGCTCCTCAGGCCCCTCCCTCGCGAGGGCCACTGTCCTGATCCTGACACCACGGCGCGCCGGGCTGGGCTCGCTGCTCCCGGTGGAACCACCCAGTGCGTTTGCGTGTGTCAGGCTCGCTGCGCTGTGTGTGAGGTGCGGTCACCTTGAGAGGTTGCCTCTCCTGTTGGTCCCGCGTCCACTGTGGGGCCCCCACGTTCACTCGTCCTGTTGACGCTCAATGTTCTGAAGCGCACGTGCGCGTGTCTGGGGACAGGGACACGTTTTTGTCGTGTGCCCCGCGCTGCGGTCTGGTGTGCTCCTAGGACGGCCGTCGGGCGTGCCTGTGTTCGCACTGGGAGGTGCTGCAGTTGCCCCGACGTGGGCGTCCAGCTCTCAGTCCCTCCCAGCTCCAGGTGGTCACTGTTGGTAGTTGCCCCTTGCTTGGCGTTGCGTGGAGTTTGAGTGTGAAATGAAGTCAAGTGTGTTAGTAAAATTAAGAACAATAATAAATTAAACCCTTAATTAGTTCAAAGTTGCCTAGAAGGTGCCAGTTCAGAAAAGGCTGGTTTCGCAAGCGAGGGGTTGGCAAGGGGCTCCGTGTGCTGGGGTCCCTCCGCCAGACGTGTCCTGGGTTCTGGGAGGTCAGGCCACAGCCTCTGGCAGGAGCTGAGCATGCGCCCGGGCCCGCTGGCCAGCGTGGAGGCCTGAGGCTCCCTGGTCCGCAATGGAGGGGGAATCAGCCTCCGAAAGCCAGCCAGGTGGGCGAGGGGGTGAGCAGCTCGAGACAGATTCATGGACCGTGGTCAGTTGGTGCAGCCTCTGATTAAGACTCTTGGTGTTTATGTCATTGTGTGGATGGATCGTCTTTCCTCCTGGCCATTAAAATAGCGCTGGGTGGTGCACTTGCCCGGCTGCCACGCACCCTCGGCTGGCATAAGCTGGCGCCTGTCTGTGCTGCACGGAGTGTGTCCTCTGTGGCCCTCCGTCCACCTCCCGAATCCAGGGGCTGCCTAGGGCTGTGTGTGGGGAGCTGCTGTCACCCCTGGTCCTGCTCCGGACCCGCCTGAGCGCCAGCCTTCCCTGGGCTTGTCCCCAGGCAGTTGGTTTCTACCAACAAAAGGCAGAGGGTGACCCATAGGGGATGTTTCTCGTGCCGTTTGGCAAACGGAAGCTGGAGGGGCCACGGCCACCCTTGGGTTTTTTATTTCAGTTGTAGAGCAGGTGGCTTCACAGAGCGGGTCCTCGCATGGACTGCTGCTCCGCTGGCACAGGTGCATAGGCAGGGGGCACAGTCCTGGCGCCCATGCCAGCGTCCCTGACCTCACCCAGCCGGGGCCGGGCAGCACATGGGGCGCCAAGTCGCAGGTGGCCTGGAAGCGGCTGCTGCTTCCTGGGTGCCCTTGATTTGGCTGCCTCTCAAACAAGAGGTGGCCTGACTGCTGGGCGTCCCTTTCAGGTCAGGCGTTCAGTCCTCCAGAGGCCTCGGCACCTGTTTAAGGGAAGCGTAACTGTCAGTGGGTGGAGCCAAGGGAAGCTTGGCGAGCAGGGGAGCCGAGCCCAGGGGCATTCGGGCGGGAGCCTGTGAGCTGTCGCCTCAGGGCCTCGTGGTGTTGGTTAGGGGGGCGGTGGCTTAGGCAGCCTCAGGGCTTCCTTGTTGCTCGGGTGGAAGAGGTTAGAAGTCAGGACGGGCTGATCTGATCTGGTGGAAACTCAGACGCGGCAGAGAAGATGTGTCAGTGACGGGACCAGGGCATTTGGCATCACTGGCTGAACGATGGTTGTTCAGGGAAATCTGACCAAGGCGTTGGCGCTCGGCCTTCAGGCCCCGAGGTGGGCCCGCTTACACCAGGCCGCCCGTGGGAAGGACAGCAGGGGAGGTAACGCCACCATCGCCGCCCGCCACCGCCACCGCGGCCTCGGCCCCACACGGAGCCCCGGAAGGACCAGCTCCCCGGCAGCCAGGGTTTTATCTGCTGTCATGTGACAGCAGAGCTGCCGGCCGCCTTCCGGGGTAGCAGGTTCCCTCACAAAGAGCGCAGTGAGGGCCCTGGCGCCCCGGAAGCCGCTGCGGGAGGCGCAGTCTCGGGGAAGCTGGGCTTCCCCTCGCTTGGCCTTGATCCTGTTGTGTCTGTTCTCTGGGGACTCGGCTGGGATGTGCCGTGGGAGGTTGGCTATGTGCTCGAGGTTGGAAATCAGCTTCCTTCCCTCCTTCCCTCTCACACTCCTTCCCACCTGCTCTCCCACCCTAACGAGTCAAGATGACGTCCTCCCATAACGTTCCATTAGGCTCAACGGGCGTAACGCGTTAGTAAAAGAGCTAATGAACCCAAGAGTGTGAGGGTTTTTCCACGAGGCTATACCTAATTTTAGCAAACGTTTCCATTTTCTAGGCTTCGGATGCCTGCTGTTCAAAAAAAAAAAAAAAAAGCCTGTATGTAGGTCAGCCTCCCGCCAGCTGGGCTGGGATGCGGCTGTTCTGAGCCACAGCTCGCTCTCTCACCTCCTTCTTTACCGGGGAAGGAAATACCTGAATGTTTCTTTAATGGAAATATATACATGAACACTTTTTTAAATATATTTTTATTAATATCAGGGAGGGAGGGAGATAGAAACATCAGTGATGAGAGTCATTGATCAATCGGCTGCCTCCTGCACGCCCCCCACTGGGGATCGAGCCCACAACCCGGGCCTGCGCCCTGACCTGGTGAGATCTGTATCCGACCAGGAAAACCACAGGATGTTTAGACTTCAGAAGGGTAGAGACTCCTTTACAGGGAATGGATTCGTAGCCTCCCCAGTCCTCTTACCTTCTGCCCACATGGAGTCTGACCCTCAGAGATGAGCGTTTCCGAGGAGAGCTCCTGTCAGACAGGTGGTGTGGCGGGAGGAGAATGCGCCTCCGGGTCAGGCAGGCCTGGGCGTGAACCTCAGCTCGGTCTTGGTTCCTGTGACTTTGGACCAAGTGACCTCGCCCCTGACACGCGGTTCCCTGGACGCTGGGCCCTCCCGTCAGGCAGTCTCCTCAGTCTGGAGGACGCAGGGAGCAGTGGTCGCCGCCTGGCAAGGCACCACCTGGCCTCCCCGAGAGGATCTGCGCAAGGTCCCCCGGGGACTCCCCTCCGCTTGCTGCCGCCTTTCCTAGGCCTCTGAGCACCCACATCCCAGTGATGCTGCTGCCCTGCTGGTGACAGGAGGAGAGAAGGTCTTCCTTATTCCGAGGCTTTCGAATTCAGAGAGAGAGAGAGAGAGAGAGAGAGAGGCTTTGTCAGCTGTTGGGCTGACAGCCTTAGAAACCCTGCAGCTGCCCTGCCCGCTGGTGGCCGTGAAGATGCAGGGAAATAGGTAAATGGGCCACTGCGCTGAGCAGGTCGCTTGGCACTGCACTGCCGGGCCTGGCAGCTCCTGGTGCGGAGCGGGCATGTGGCCGC